AACAATGTAAATCATCACTACTGCAATGGCACTGTACGAACACTGGGCGCTCTCAACTGCTGGGGATTCTTGAAAACCTGGCCCCAATCTTGTACACAAAACAATGTTATTTCTATTACTATTGTTACTTAAAATGAACTATAATGCAGTGTTTACTGTTAATACTAATTAGAAGGTATGAATGAAGTGATTATGATTTAAATCATGTCACGTATTGTGAAGTTACACACATTCTGTATTAGATGTGCTAACTGTTGGTCAGGGCATTTTTGATCTTAAGTCTGATTCACCATAACATTTTTCCAGTGCAACTTCATTGAAATCAATGGAGTTACACTGGTGTACTGCTGAAGCAACCTATTAGTAAATCAGGCCATTGAAGCACATAGGCTGTGTCCAGACTCAGGGGTCTTTTCGAAAAAAGTAGCCTTTTTTCGAAAAAACTTCACCTGCATCTAGACTACAGCCGTGTTCTTTCGAAATTAAATCGAAAGAATGCGGCTTTTCTTTCGACGGCAGTAAACCTCATTTCACGAGGAAGAACGCCTTTTTCCGAAAGTGCTCTTTCGAAAAAAGGCGTTCTTGAATGCCAACAGGGCTTTTTAGAAAGCATCCAGACTCACTTGCTGCTTTCTTTCGAAAAAGCGGCTTGCTTTTTCGAAAGTTCCGCTTGCAGTCTAGACGCTCTTTTTCGAAAGAGGCTTGCAATCTAGACATAGCCATAGATTTATGCATAAGGAAAGAGTATTCTTAATGGGAATCACACCGGTAAACCCATGCACATTGAGAGGAGAATTGGCATCCTTCCCCTGTCCTGAAATTGAAAGAGTACTCATGCAAATGCACAGTATTCACACTTGTTATTTAGAGATGACATGGTCAGTTGTGACATGAAAGGTAAACATAACAGGGTTTATGTCTTGTAAGATTGCAGAAGCTGTGTGTGTATTTATAAGCACGTCAACACCGTGTCTCTTATTTTACCATAGGTAGAAAAGGGGCTTGAGGTTACCAAAAAATTCTTTCAATTTATGCCTTTTATGGTCATTTGAAAGGGATTGTATCTGTTTTTTTTTTCTGGCCTTGCTGGTAAGGATTGCATTTTCAATCAGCTCACAGATATAAAATGGCATTATGCTGAAAGTGTTTATATAGTTCATTAAAACTCCAGTCATATTTATAATTTGATACACATAATTTTAGCTGCCAAATGTGTCGTTCTAAATATATATTTTAATAAAATCATTATGCAGAAAAATATTTTCAGTGGGTATCTAGGATGTATATTCCTATTTATCCATTGCTAGGCTATTCTATTAAGAAAATACCTCTTTAGAAAGTTAGATAATAAGAGAGGGTGAAACACCCGGTTTGTCTTTTGCGTATGCCTAAGCCTTCTTTTTGAATGTCAGTGGGGTTCCTTTCTGTCCTTTTATCTTATGTGATGGACAGCTATACTAAATGTAACCTAAATATTTATTTCTTTTGAAGCAAAGCAAAGAGCATACCATTTTTGAGAAACAATATAACTTGATGGCTAGGGTACTAAGGTTCAGTCTCGCCTTTCTGAAACACAGACATGTACTGTCAGGTAGGTAGAAAAAAATCGGATGGAGTAGAAGCCATTAAAAACATTCACATTTGCCCAATGTTACCACACAGTTATAGAGATCTTGGATTTTTAGTGTGGGGTAAAACTCTAGCAATCGTAATACAACTACTGGCAAATGTTGACTGTGTGATGTGGCTAAAGCTTTGAATTTGCCAGGGTGATCACAGAAATCACTGATTCAGTGACTTTCCAAAAGCTCCACGCCCTATGCATTTGGCCAGAGACATCCCAAGGGGGGCGTAAGGCAACCCCATTGCCATGGGCCCCTCCCCTTCCCAGCTCCCACTCTACCCATTTCCCAAGCCCCACCCTTACCCCCTCACCAAGCAATGCAGCCCAGGCATTTATGGGGGCCTGGCACAGCAGCAGCAGGGGTCGACCCTCCCACTCACCACGCAGGCACTGAGACCTGGTGTGGGGCGCTCTGCTGCCGCTGAGAAGCCATGAATAGCAGGCTGGGAGAGGATGGTGTAATGGAGTGGAGCAGGCTGCCGGGGGTGGAGGGAGGGCGACCCTGCTGCTGCTGTGCCAAGCCCTGGTAATCTGGGTCCCTCCAATCCATTGAACAGTTGGGGTGGCCGCTGCTGGGCCCCCAAAAGTATGGGATCTGGGGAGGACATCCTGATTTATCTTATGGATGGGACAGCTCTGCATCAGGCCTGGGGGCTGCCTGAGGAGCTCACACAGCTCCTGGACCACTCACACTGACTGCTGTTTGGGCAGTATTGGGCCAGAAGGCTCACCCCCCACCTCAAGGTCCCCCCAGCAGCAGGGGGGACCCAGGCCACCCTCTTCCCCAATAGTACTCGCAGTATCCCTCCTCCCCCCATAAAAGTCATGGACAGGTTATAGGGCTGTGAATTTCTGTTTACTGCTCATGACCTAGCCATGATTTTTACTAAAAATACCAATGACTAAAATGTAGCCTTAATGATGACGACTGCTGGGCTAGAGCCGCATTCTGCCTTAAGATACCTCAAAATGGGCACTCATGCAGGAAAGCAGAATCAAGCCCTTGTGAACAAATATTGCAGTGAGGTAGCTCTGAATTGAATCGGAATGCGTGTGTAGCTAACAGGGACTAACATTTTCTTCTGTGCAAAATATAGACTCATAATGCCCTTCATCTGTGTACTAAATTCCCATGGTCATCAAATGGATTTTCCATATGGGGATCAAGAATGTCATATGGCCCTAAACATTTTAATTTTGTTTGCTATATTAGAGTCTCGAGTCTGTGTGAAAGAAACATTCTATGAAGTATAGTTTGGAGATAAGATATTCTTTCTCTCCTCCCACCATATCCCCTTAAACATGGACCAAAGCAACATACATTGAACAGGGGTCAGCATACATTACATATTAGAGGGAGAGAGAAATGGAGCATTAAAATAAATTATATTTAGAATTGTTACTTCTAGTGCAAATGACCGGAGAACTTCAGAACGTAATGTGAATAGAACTTAATAAAAGCACAAAGGGTCAGCTCTCCAAAGGCATTTAGGTACTTAACTCCTACTATTTTCAAATCAATAAATACCTTTCAGGATCTATGCCAAAGCATCTGCAAAGCAGCCTGCTCCTCTGTTACCTGCACCGGGCTGTTCTCCAGACATCAATGTGTAGAAAATGGTACATTTTAGAAAATATTACATCAAGCTCCATACAGTGATATGTCCTATAGTCTTTAGTTTGAGCTACGTGGTTTATATCACTGAGGTCTCTGTCTGCATAAAAGACTGAGCCCCTGAATTCCGATGGAGCTGGGAGACACTTTCTGAGCCATTTCGAGAAATAGACGAGCTATGGAGTCTGTAGTCACGACCCACTGTCTGGCTCAAACACAAACTCCGCCATTTCCTTTTCAGTTCACCTTGTACCTATATTTTAAAAAAATGCATGCAAGCTAAAAACATGTGTTACATGGGAAACATTTGTGCTTTCATTAGCGTAGCATGCAAACTACTAAAAATAATCTCTCTTTTATTTGAAAACAAAATCAGGTCAAAGAGTTTAAGAAGAGTTATTAATAAAAATTTGCACTCATATAGTGCCACCCTATCCAAGGATCTGAAAAATGCATCGTAATCCTTTAGCCTCATGAGAAGTAGGAAGAAAAATAAAAGTAAGCCCAACTCTTCTTAATTCAGATAGGCAGCACAAACATGAGATTAATGCACAGGCATCAGAATCAGGACTCTAAGTCTAGCTTTGCTATGGACTTATTGTGTGACTTTGCTATGGACTTAATGTGATAATAATGACTCAGAACTGTATTATTACTAGGAGTTGTTGACTAATACATTTCCTATCTAATGTTCCATCCATGTGCGGATTTTTTCCATCCATGTGCGGCATAATTTTTTTACGTGCACTGAGGCATTTGTAGTAGAAACAAAAAACCTAGCTGTGGGTGCTCTGCTAATCAGCTGGGCATCATTTGAATCACTCCTGAATGGCCACAGATGCATGCAGCTTACACAGAACACTCCAGAATTTAAAGTGTATGGCTTGTCTGAAGGATAAGGACAGGACAATCAAAAAGGATTTGTAAAAATGGTGGATAGCTATTTATGATAAGTTTTTAGAGATGAGAGTAAGCTGAGGCATAAATAATTCAGGAACAAGCCCAAGATAATGCAGCACATCAACGTCAGGGCCAGGAAGACTCAGGAGAGTTGGCTCCTAGTTCTGTGCTCTAGTAAATGTACACACTCCCTCTGTGATACTATTTAAAGTGTGGTTGTATACTGAAAACTGACTGTGCAAAAATGGCATCTTCTTACTCGGGGGATAAGACCTTGAGTCAATTGATCCTCACATGAAAGTAGGTGACAGCACTGGGAAGGAGGCTCGACATGATGCTCCCATTTAGGGACCTATGCACATTGTCAGATTTTTGGAAGAGAGCAGGCTCAAATTTTCAGAATTGAGAACAATGTAAATCATCACCCCTGCCATGGCACTGTATGAACAATGGGAGTTCTCAAGTGCTGGGGAGTCTTGAAAACCTGGCTCCAAATATGCGGGTTGAAATGAAACCCTAGACCTTCTCAGTCCAATAAAAAACCCCTCTTCCCTTGACTGTAATAGGGCCAGGACTTCACCTTTGGGATATTTTTATATTGATAAACTGTAAGGGTAATATTTAACAACATCTCCTGGTATTAGGATGATAGAGGAACCAGAGTTTAACCCCCTCCCAAAACAATTATGCCTTAGTATGGTTTTTTTTATCCCTCTGACATCGAAATCACCATATTCTGTAATAACAACACACTGACACCTTTTATGATTTATATACTAGAATATTAAGTTTGCTATTACACTTATTGCTAGTTTATTGAAAACGCTATTCAATATCACTGGAGAGAAAAGGGAAACTTACTTCACTGTTCAAAAAGCAGTACAGGACTGCAACAACCAGCCCCTGTAAACAGACAATGTGTTATGTTAGTACACAGCTCTGAGCTAAATCAGTAAATAAATAAATAAAAATTGTAAAGTTTTAGAATTTACCTGAAAAGATCCCAAACATAACTCAAAATATATCTGATAGTCACTGTGAGCGTTTTCAGGAAATAAACCGAACACTATGTAGTGAACTCCAAATAATGGAATAAGCAGCAGTGTTGATTTTGCAAGTCTCCTAAGTAAACAGAGCAGAAGCATTGGAGCTTAATGGAGTATCCCAGTAAAGTCTTGTTTCATTAACATACATATTTAGTGCACTTTAATTTTTTTAGATAAACTCCATAACCCCTCAGGCAGTATGATCTATAAATTAATATTCTTCCTAAGGGCCAATCATACTACTGAAAACTATATTTTCTCTTATGTGTCGTATAGTCAGTCCCATACGGGCCTTATAGTCACTGAGTGAGATTCCATGCTATGGTTCAAAGAGCTGAGGTGGCTTTCAGCTTCCTTTGCACCCAACTGATTTTGGGGCAGTTCCAGGGGCTAGACAAGACACCACCATTACTCAGACAGTCATGGGGGCTATCTAAATTACAGAAGATTCCTTGGGCTATCCTACGGACTGCACCAAGCTTGGAATCTCCACAGCATGGCATGCTGTTGTCCCATCTGTGACACACCCCTCTTGCCCACAGTGTGCCCCTATGGCCAGGTCTGTCAGGGAGGGGAAGGGTCCTTGGACAACAGCCATATGGCTGCCTTCTACAAAGCCTTCATCCAGGTGATTCTCACCCAGTTGGCTATGAGGCATTTAGTGTGATTTATGCTGCTCTGACCTTTTTAAAATAATCTGAAGTGTCAAGCACAGTTGAGGATCTGACCCAAACACTGGGACAGCGGAGAGCAAGATAAGGTACACAGGCCGAATCTAGCCAGCCAAGCCTTTTCACAGCAGAGGAGGGGAGGTTTTGCACTCTGCCCGCACACCCAGCATAATTTCTCAGCTCCCACTGGCCAGAAAACATCCAATGAGAGCTGAGAAACTGTTAGGGCAGGGGCAGTGCATGAAGCACCCTCTCCTCACAGCATGGAGGGCCGCACGGACTAGCCAGCTGCTTTGAATGGTCTGGAGTTACTGGCAGACAGGGAAGCCTACCTGAGAGTCATGCTGGGCTGCTGGCCGGGAGCTGCTTAGATAAGCACCTACCTGCCAGAGTCTATCTCAGTCACCCCACCCCCTCCTGCACCCCAACTCCCTCCTACACCCCTCCCCTAGTCAGAATCCTCTCTTGTACATATACTCCCTCCCAAACCCTGCACCTCAATCCCCTGCCCCAGATCACAATCCCCTCCTTCACCCAAACTCCGTCTCAGACCCCACACCCTCTCCTGCATCCCAGCCCCCAACCCTGAGCTCTTTTCTGCACCCAAACTCCGTCCTAGACCCCACACCGCCTCCATAAAAAAGTGAAAAAACTTGGGAGAAAATGATTTCTCCCCCCACCAAAATTTATTGCCTACCCCTGCACTAGGCAATATTGAAGAGTTATACAGACATCTTCATTTTCTGTATATAGAATACACTTAAAATGCATTTAAATACATTTAAAATGCATAATGTGTTAGTGCCTAGGGAATATGATTCCAGAGAAATCCTTCGATCAAGGTATTTCATGAGCAATTCTACACTGATCTCTGAGTCCTAGAACCTCATATTTATATTGATGGTATGAAGCATTTTCCCTTTATTAATTAAAATTCCATCAGTTATATAACAGCAATTACTGAAGTACAAAAGAAAATTATATAAGATAAAACTTCAATTTGTTAAGTGGCATAATTTTGTCAAATTGACACTGAGCCCTTGAAAAGATGGGAAGCTAATTATTCTTTAGCTGTCATTCACTTTATTTTACTATTATAAACTTTTCAGTTTGGCATATTTATGGATGCCTGATCTCAGACAAAATGCAAAAAGTTAACATGGAGAGTCAAGTGAGTCATCACTGTTTTGACCATAATGAGATTCAGCAATGAAACAGGCTGTCTTGAGGCAAGCATCTTAAACTCAAATTGTCTATTTAACAGACTAGGCAACCGAAGAACCTTCTATTTGAATGTTTTGTGACAGTCCTTGAAGTCTTCCACGGATCATGGTCAAAATATCTCAGCAACTGCCTTTCTTTATGTGACAGTGGCCTTCGAGACAGCAAAGCTTCTCAGAAAATACAGTCTATCTGGACCTGAAGATGAAACTAATGACAGTAGAAGACATGGCTTCCTCAGCAAGATGTCCTAAGCTTTGAAATTCATAACTGGAGGGGAGGAGAATGACCACAAATCTGACTGCTTCCAGAGCAAAGTGAAAAACAAATGTCTTCATTGTGGCTTTCTTACCACCAAAATCAAACCAGGAGGAAAGTAGATTAAAGAGAGAAGAGGGAAAGGGGGCAGGCAAGAGGAAAATCAGAGGAGTGAAGAGAAAAGTGGGAAGGGCAAAACAAAAAGAACAATAAAACAAAAATAATTAATCAAAACAGAAACAAACCTACATCAACATCTTTCTTTGACTTGTGGGAGAGTTGGAAAGGAAAATTTCTCATCAGCTCTTTGTGTCTTTGTTCTTATTTAAAACCATAGCTTAATACAAAAATGATAAGCTGGGTCACATCCAACAGTCATGGCTTGGTCAGGAACAGTCTAACTTGTTTTCTAATCTTACTTTTTAAATGTCCTGTTTCCTTTATTTAGGAGTTAGTGGTCCACATTTTTGCAATTATATCTGAATTTAGATTAAAATTTCTAATACATACTAACAATATCTTTCATTATTTATGGTCATATAGCTTGTATTAGCCCAGCACCCATAATCGTGAAGACTTCCTTCCCTAAAAATAGTATGAGTGCTATGAAAAATTATCTCTGTTTTCTGTGGTGAGTATTAAATTAACCTCAGGCTAGAAAGCATGCACATGACCCTACACCCTCCTGAGGACCAACATTAAGGGATTTTAGTAGTGAAGGCTTGATAGGGCCATTTTCAATAGGATGAATTTCATCAGGAGGCATGCTTCTGATGTTGTAGAGGAAGATTAACTGTTTCAAAATGCCTAAATGCTGTAAAAACTGAAGTCCCCATTTTCAAAAGCGACAGAGGCACTTAGGCTTAGATCCCCAAAAGTATTGCGACTCTTAACTCCCACTAATTTCAATGGAAATTGTCACCTAGGTGTCTCGACTTGAGACTCAACTTCGGTTCATTGTCTCTGACTTGAGACTTGCTAATTTTGTTAAATTGACTTGATGAAAAAATTGTCCGAAAATGCCGATATTGATGGCTTATACAAAAGTGACTTGACATTTTTAAAATTAAGACTCGAGACTCGACTTGAGACTTGAACTGTAGTGACTTGAGACTTGACAATGATGATTTGAAGACAACACTGCCTTTGAGGGTCTGGTCTGTAGGGGTATGTCTACCTAGGGGTTTGAACTAGGGTGGTAGTGTAGACATACCCTTCGAGACCAAATCTCATGGAGTTTTCAGTATCACGTAGGTACTTTTGAAAATGTAACACAATATCTGCTTTTCTTGCCACAGGCTGGTGTGATCCTTTCTAGAGGGCATAAAGGATATGCTGTGGTGCAATGCTCACTTATGTTGGTGAACAGGCCAACTGAAATCAGTGCAGCTAATGATATTACCAGTTGCAATTGCTTACCAGTCTGAAAGATTGTTGTGCAGTCGAGTCCTAATTTAACAAAGCAAACCTCCCAATATCCACACCAAAAATGTCAGTTCACTGAAGTTCAAAGCCTCCGTAATGATCCTGACTTTTGCAAACCACACAAGTTACTGAATTCCAGACCATTTACACCAGCTCTGAGCACTGTGATTTCATGCTCCACTTTCATTGTTCCTTAAGTTTCACATTAGCATTTTTGCTTTAATAATTTTTGACTGATTGTGGGCTAACTGTATATGACACTGACATTTTAATGGAGGAAACAGTCATGCAAAAATAGCCTCATGCCCCTCTGCAATTTAGAAATTACATTTGCATGTACATAAGTGAAGCTTCTGGACCTTTAACTTGCTCTGCAGAAGCAATACTTTCCAGTGAGCATAATTTGCCTTTTTCAGGAGTGTCTACTAAACAGGGCCACCGATGGGAGTAAGGGGGCAAAGAGGGCAATTGCCTTGGAACTCAGTGAACTTAAGGGAGCACAGGGCTGGCACTGTTGCCACCACTGCAGGGGTTGCAGCAGTGGTAGCTCTGCTTGTTACAGCAGCTGTTATAGCGGCAGCTGTGGGGAGCCCCAGGGTTCCCTGCTGCTTTTAAATGCCTGGTGGTTCTCAACTAGGTAGCGAGTGGAAGGGGAGCAGGCACTGGTGTTGGGGGCTCTAAGGGCTAAGCTGAGGCAGGACTGGACTTCAGCACCAAGGAGAGTGGAGCGAGCTTGGTTTGGGTATTTCTATAGGTTACACATGGTTATGTACAGATGAGAGGGGAACACGCTCTGCTGCTGGATCTCTGTGGGTGCAGTGGGGCTAGATGGGGATGGGATGGGTGCAGCCCATGCTCTGAGAGTCTTTCTGACTGAGAATGAAAATTGTGTGTATGGCAGAGAACTGAAACAAACAGTACCTTCCTCTCCAAGGGTATGTCTAGACTGCATCTCTCTGTCGACAGAGGGATGCAGATTAGGCAGGTTGACATTACAAATGAGATAGACATTGCAAATGAGGCAGGGATTTAAATATCCCACACCTAATTTGCATAAAAATGGCCACCACGTTTTGCTGACTCAGCACTTTGTTGGCAGAAAGCAGCTGTCTAGAGGGGTATCTGTCGAGAAAGAAAGCCTTTTTCGACAGATCCTGTAAACCTCCTTGCATGAGACATAAGGAATCTGTCAAAAAAGGCTTTATTTCTCGACAGATCCCCCTCTAGACTGCTGCTTTTTGCTGACAAAGTGCTGAGTTGGCAAAATGTGGCATCCATTTTTATGCAAATTAGGCATGGGATATTTAAATACTTGCCGCATTTGCAATGTTGACCTGCCTAATCTGCATCCTTCTGCCAACAGAGGGATGCAGTCTAGACATACCCCAAGTGCAAACAGATCAACATTACACCTAATGGACTGAAAGTGAAAAATACTTAATTAGCTTCATTAACACTGACCCTACAATTGACAGGTAACTTCTTTTGCTGTTATATATACCCCAAATTCTGAAATTTCCACTCGAACTCATCTGATGAAGTGGGTTTTACTCATGAAAGCTCATGACCTAATAAATGTGTTAGAGTGCATCTATACTGCACCCATAACTCCAAATAAGCTACTCAATTTGAGCTACATAACAATGTGAGTGTCTGGACAGCCATTCTGTTATTTCGATATAACAGATGGCTTATTCAGAAATCTGTAAACCTCATTCCACAAGGAATAACGCCTATTCCAAAATAACTATTTCAAAATAAGGCGTGTGTAGATGCTCTACTGCTGCTATTTTGAAATAGCTCCTTACTAAGGCCATTCTAAGTTATTCCTCCCCAGTGCCTCCTGGGGTTCTAAATAGAGATAGCTTGTTTAAATTAGGGAATCCTGCCTCAGGCTAATTTTGAGGCTTCCCTGCAGTGTAGAATTGCTATTTCGAAATAAGCTATTTTGGAATAATTATTCTGGAATAGCTTATTTCAAAATAAGAGTGCAGTGTAGACGTACCCTTACAGACTAACATGGCTACCCCTCTGAGACTTTTTGACATAATACCATCACCCAGAGTCCCTCACTGAATCTCTTAGCTCACAGGCCCTGGTAGGCTTGGAGGACAGATCAGGTCCACCGACAGAGGGGGCAAAAGGGACAATTGCCCAGGGGCTTAGGTGCTTTACATGGGCCCTGGGTCCCCTGGCCAGTGGCAGTAGCAGTGGCTAGCAGACCCGGGACCTTTTACATTGCCTGAGCAGGCTGCAGTGCTCCTAGAAATATGTTCCAGGGGCCCAGCGCCCACTGTGGCATGCAGAGTGGCTCTGTTGCACAGGTGGTGCACCCCACTGGAGGGACACTGGGTGGCCAGAGGGCGAGTCAGGGCAGTGGAAGGCAGAGCCGGGGGGAGGAGCCACACCAATGGCGGCAGCAATCACTGCAGCTTTGTAACCATGTAAGTGAGCGAGGAGGGGAAAGCTGGGCTGGGAATGGAAGAGAAGGAGGAGAGCTCTGGGGATAGAGGCAGGCTTAGGACTGTGGGGAGCAAGGGCTGACGGGGGTGGAGGAACCAGGCTGGTGATGGCAGGGAGGTGCTGGGCTAGGAAGGGAAAAGAGCAGAAGGATGGGGGCAGAAGTAGGCAGCCACACCTGGGAGAAAGGAGCTGAGGGGTGGTGACTGCTGGTGGACAGAGCTGGCTGGAGGTGTTGGGGGCAAAGGGGAAGGAGCTGAGCTGGGCACAGGACTGCTAGGGGTTCAGCTGAGCTGGGAGGCAGAGGGGGAAGGTGCTGCGTTGGACACAGAACTCTTGTGGGGGCAGAGAGTGGAAGGAGCCCAGGACCGCTGGGGGCAGAGCTGTGCAGGGTTGGCTAGGGGGGCAGAGAGAGGAAGAAGGGTGGGAGGAGTACCTAAAGGCATGTCAAGGATTGAGGCTGCAACCAGTTAGGGGTCCTCTGATTTAGGGGTGGCACTAAGGATTTCTCCAGGTGGGGTGGGGGGCTTGTGACCCCATCTGAGGGAAGAAGACGGGGAAGGGGTATTTATTGTGTTTTCCTGGGCCCCAGAATTCCTGTCAGCAGGCCTGCTACCAAACATCAAACATCATCCAAACCAAAGTTAATAACCAGGCAGTGAAAAAACAAATCTGCTGCTATTAAGCAACCTACATTATAAGACACTAAGCTGCCCTATGGAGGATGCTTGGAGAAAAACAGAGGACATGGGACTGAACATAAGTATATAAACGAAGGTGAGGAGAACAAATAGCTCTTGCAACAAGAGCTGACTAGAGCAGATTTCTCACCCACAGTTTGGCCAGTTTTCAGAATGATACGCAAGAGACCCCAAATCTCAGCGAGGGTGCTCCGTGGATTGAGCTGGCCAGGTCCCCTTCACAGAAAGCTCAAGTATCCTCAGACCCACCTGCTGTAGTCTACTGCTGGATTTCTTTGTCTTGTGACATCACAATCCGGAACCTCAGAATTACCTCATTCACTATATTACTTTTGAGAGACCTGTCACGTCCTATTGAAATCAGCACAGAGCTAGTAAAATCAAGTTTGAGGCTTAAATTGAAAGACTGATATAGAGTGCCCATAAACTAAAGCCACATTCAAACAAAATCAACTTAAAAATGTACACTTGGTATGATCCTAAGAGGTTTGTTGAAAATTTTTGTAAAATATGGCTAGATTCTTAAGTGACTTGTGAAAACTGCAGGAGGATTCCATAATCCGCATTGGTCTCCATTGTTTTTAAAAGCATTGTGATGTAATGATAAGGTGTCAAATGTCACAGTGGTCTTATTGGGCATTTTTCATTTTGATACTGTCAAAAAGTTTCTATCACTTTAAAAAAAATATGTACTGCCACATAGGGATGTAAAAAGTACAGTTGATTAACCGATCAGCAAAAGCTTATAAGTTAAATGCTATAGACTACACACACTTCCCTCTACCCGCCTCTTGCCAGTAAATTTTTTAGCAGGCTGGCCAGCAGCCCGGCTCAGTCCTGGCTCATGCTGGTTCCGGGAGCTCAGACCGCTCCATAGACAGGGGTTGCTGCCTCTTTATCAGAGGACAGGCGGATGGTCCGTAAGGGGAGCTGGTTTTTAAACTCCCTCCCCTCACAGCCCAGCTCCCGCCTGGCACCTCATGCTGCTGCCTCTGATACAGAGGCAGCAGTGTGGAGTGGCGAGGACTCCTTGGGAGTGAGGCCAGAGTGCTTTGGCTGCCAACCCCACCCCTAGGGACTACAGACTAGTTGAGTAACCAATAAGAATTCGTGAGGTTACTTGACTATTCAGTTAACCGATATTTAATATGCCTACCACAGTTTGTTTTGGTGAAGTGCACAGGTAATTAACAAGGAGACCTACTATGTGTGACTAGATGGCATGGTGTTTTCAGTGCTCAAATGACACTTGGGCATCAACATGTCATTGTTTGCTCTCAGATGCTAATCAGACTATGGGAACTATGCTTTTTTGGGCATGGTCTGTCTTTTTATTATGTGTACAGAGTAAAGCACAATGAGGCCCAGCTTCAGTATTGGGGCCTATAGGAACTACTATAATACATTATACTTAATAGTAGTAGTAATACTAATCAGTAATAACCTTGTTAAATACCTCTGTTCAGCAAAACATTTAAACAAATGTTTAACATTCAGCGTGTGCCTAAGTCTCATAACATTGTTGATTTCAATGTGTTTATGTGTTTTGCTTAATCAGGATCCTATCCTCAGCTATCCACCTATTTAAAAATGTGTACCACTGTTTCAAACACAGCATCACAACTTTGGATGGTTGCTGGTAGTCTGCTCCAGCAGAGGAAATCTTTAAATAGATTACTTTGATACATTGTATGAAGTCTCTAAAACACATTACTCACTTGTACTGTGACTGATCATTGCCGCCAACATCCGGCGATCTTAACTTTTGCAGTAAAATTCTTATAATACTAATGAACAGTAGAAAATTCACCTGAAAAAGAAAAGACATGTATAAAGGTATGTCTACACTAGCCCCCTAGATCGATCTAGGGAGGCTAATGAGGGCAACTGGAATTGCAAATCAAGCCCTGGATTTAAATATCCCACGCTTGATTTGCATGTTCCCAGCCGGTTGCCATTTTAGAAATTGACTAGCCTGAAGTAACTGGCCGCGTCTACACGCGGCAGTGAAACGGGATTCCAGAACAAAGCCCCTAAATCGAATTAGCTGGTAAGCCTCATTCCATGAGAAATACCACCTAATTCAAGTTAGGGCTCTATTCCGGAATCCCGTTTCACTGCTGCGTGTAGACGCGGGCAGTTACTTTGGGCTAGTCAATTTCTAAAATGGCAACCGGCTGGGAACATGCAAATCAAGCGTGGGATATTTAAATCCAGGGCTTGATTTGCAATTCCAGTTGCCCTCATTAGCCTCCCTAGATCGATCTAGGTGGCTAGTGTAGACATACCCTAAGTGACTCAAGCGGCTCACTTTATTATGCAGTCTTCTGGTAACAGGTAAACAAACCAAACTAGTCAGTTTGTTAGTGAGCCTTGCGTGCTTGCTGCCAGAACATGTTAATTATACCCCCTCAGATCTACTGCCTCTTGCCTGCCTTACTGACAGTTTGTCACATCCAAAACACCTCTGCATGACTGTAAATGCCACTGCAGAATCATCCTCCGTCATATTTAAAAGCTGACAAAATCCCTTTTCACCAGCAACCCCATTAAAGGGAACATTCTCAAGCATGATGGGGCTTTGGTTAAGTCTCAGTAAAGCCTAATGTTACATGAAACCCTTTGGTGCATTTACCCCTGGTGGCTGAAGGGATAATGCACACTCTTGTTTTACACGCTTTCCTACTTTTGGCCCGCACGTCTAGAGTCAGGGACAGGAAGGTTTTGTAGAGGGGACGTATTCATAAATCAGTGATAGAAAGGGTCTTCTTTCCATATCTCTATATTATGGTACCGATATGCCCTTCCATTATCGTAGTAATTGAGCACCTCACAATCTTTAATGTATTTGTCCTCACAACTCTCCTCCGTGAGGGAGGGAAGTGCTATAATCTACATTTTACAGATGGGGAACAGAAGTAATTGGATAAAAGGAAGTATAATCTGACTCATAGAAAGCTTGAACTCAGGTCTGGAAATCAGAAATTGCTGCATCTGAATCCCAGCGCTCATAATGTATTTTGCTTTAGTCTTTGGCAAGACCTCAAACTCTCCACCTCAGTTCCCAATCTATAGAACACATGTCTTAGTGCCAGGCATGTAAGATGGTGCTTGATTGCATAACATGGTCTATTAAATGCTTTGAACATGAACAGTGACACAGAAATGGTAGGTATGGTAAAACATTCTACAACCATAAAACCTTCTCCATAGTGCTTAACGGCAGTAGTGAGCTAACTCGGATCAGGGATGCCGGAGCATCAAATGCAGTAGGAAAACATTCTGGTATTGAGCCAGAGTCAAAATCTTATTTTCTGTATTTAAAAAACAAACAAAATAGTCAGCAGAATCAAGCTGTGCACATGGCTAAACAGAATCTGCTTCTTGGTGTGGGTGTAACCCTTGTCTTTCCTCTTCCCCTAGCTATTCAGTCTAACATTTTGATTGTAAGCGCTTTGGGGTATCATGACTTTTGGTGTCTTCTGTGACATGTCCAATATAACTTTTAAGTGTAAATAAATAATAAACTACTATAATAATTGCATGTCATTCAGTTCATGTTATTTCCTGTTGAAGTCCTGTTAGGGCTAAAGAAGTTATGGTGGAGGCAAGTGATGGGACTCTAGAATCCTAATTATATAAAAAAAAGTTAGGAGAATTAGGTCTAAATTTTGTGTAAAAGAGAAAATTAGAAGGAGTCTCACTGAAGTAAAAGAATCAAAGAAAGAGGATCAATATGCAGCCTGTCCATATGCAGCATTCCCAGAGAAGCTGCAGCTAGTTCTGCAAAATTGGGCCTTTTCATTATTGCCTTTGTGTAATGCAACACAGTACAAAGGTCAGGAGAAACCAATTTTCTCAGTATGGACGTTAAAGGCAATATGGTCTAATGGTTAGGACTCTAGTGATAGAGGGGTTCTTCTCCTGGCTTTGCCACTGTCCTCTTGGGTGACCGAACACGAGTCACTTCATCTCTGATTCCCCTCTCCTTTTGCCTGTGTAAGATGGTTGGGGCAGGGACTGTTTCTTGCTGTGCTTTTGTACAGTGCCTATCAAATTGGGGCTCTGCTGACAATAGGGGTCCTAATTTCTCATATAATACAAACAATTATCAACCATAAAAGATTAGAAACTGTGGTCCTTTTAAGAAGTTCAATAAGAAATTGTTTTTCTGTGCCATTCACTGGGCATATTTTGGAGCATTATATTCAGGTGAGCCATATATTCAAGTATTTGTATCTGGGTTTCTTTTGAGGCTAGTCAATTTTTCTATTTGTCTTTAGTGATATTTTGTGAGCATTGTGTATGGCTAACATTAAACAAGTATCTGTCTATGTATGATATGAATATCACTTCAAGATATGGACCTGCTGAAGCGCTAACCCCAGCCAAAAGAGATTAGCAGTTAGATATCAAGATGCCAAGTATGCTAAAAATACTTTAGATAGTATATGAGATTATAATTCAAATGATCACTTAGGACAGTTGTGAAAGACCCCAATTTATCCAACTTAAACTTAATATATATATATATTCAGTTTAGGGCCACATATAATTTCACTATGTTTAGAGAACAAGAAGAAAATGACAATTTGTGTTCACATTTTAGGAGATTTTGTCTTTAGCATTGTAGATTTAATTCCGTAATATTCTGTGGGGTAGAATTTCTTTATACAGACAGCAGACAATATACAGTGTTGAATGAACTGCTAAAGGCAGCAAAATAAGCCAATAATATTAATTCAGGGAAGTGTCAGGGATGGGATGCAGCAGCAGAGGTTAAATGATAAAAGTAGTGAAGTAAGAAGGTACTGAATGATCTGAGCCTGAAACTGACAGTAACTTTCGAACCAATTACATCTAGACTGGCATGATTTTCCAGAAATGCTTTTAACGGAAAAGTTTTCCATTAAAAGCATTTTCGGAACAGAGCGTCTAGATTGGCTCGGACGCTTTTCCGCAAAAGCACTTTTTGCGGAAAAGTGTCCATGCCAATCTAGACGCGCATTTCCGGAAAAAAGCTCCGATCGCCATTTTCGTGATTGGTGCTTTTTTCCGGAAAACAAATCTGAGCTGTCTACACTGGCCCTTTTGCCCAGACAGGAGCAGCATAGTATTTCCACAAGAAGCACTGACAATCTTACATGAGATCGTCAGTGCTTTTGCGGAAATTCAAGCGGCCAGTGTAGACAGCTGGCAAGTTTTTCCGGAAAAGTGGCTGATTTTCTGGAAAAACTGGCCAGTCTAGACACAGCCTGTGAGTACATGTATCACTTAAAATCTCTTTTTGTTACCTCCTTCTTGTTATATAGTTCTTTGCAGAAGTTTTAATGTGTCACAACTAGAGGGGCACAACTCACTTTTTTTGAGGGGATACATGACTGCATCTGTTTTCTGAAAGTCTGTTAATTCAGATTTGTGTCCAACTGAAAAGACACACAAATGAGAGCCGCCTGTATGGGAGAGGGGAAGGAACAGGATTGCCATGGCAGCTTTTGCCAAGTGGAGGCCATGGGTGGTATGCCAAATGAACTGTTTGGTATAGTACATCTCCAATTAAATAAATCAGAGAGGCTTTGAAATGTGCAAAGCATGACACATGGAAGGCAGCCAAGGAACATTTCTCAGGCCAAAAATGTTCAGAGGAAAGACCATGCCTCAGACATGCTGAAATAACTGTGAGGACTGACCCTGAAGAATTCACTTTGAGAATGCTGTTTTAGAGCGGTCAACAGCTGATTAAATATAATCCCTACAACATAACTGGAGGTAACATAGAAACTAATGGAAAAAAAGAGAATACTGAGTGGAGGTTGATTGTTGATTTGATTTGTTATACCTACTAGATAAATCCTTGTTCCAATCTCTTCGCTTGCTTTTCCTTCCAAAACAAATTCATACTCTTACTCTCACATTCAGACCTCCACACAACTCTCGTTTTGCCTCTATCTCTGTTTCCACTTCATTAGCTCCATCACTCCTTCTTGCTCCTTTTGAGCTTCAGCATCTCTCACACTTTGGGCTTACTTTCATGCTATTCCAGAACAGCCTCCCTTTTCAAACATTCCAAGTGTCTTCCTTTTGCTCCATGAAAACCTTCCTCAAAAATAACTTCTTTCACAGCCTTTCCTACCTTAATCTCCTCACTGACAACTTGTCCATAATGTCTCCCTTCTAATGGTTGTCTCATGTATCACATTTATTTGAGGCAGACTGTACACCCTTTCAGGCAGCAGGACTTTGGTTTCTTATACAGTATGTTTTGCAAAGCTCCAGGGCCAAAATTTTCAAACTTGTTTGTCAGAAGTTACATTTAGACGTCTAAATAAAAGGTCTTTAACAGGTGCTGGACACAGGCACCACCTTTAGATTTCAATGGGAATTGTGAATACTCCAGCCATTTCTTCTGGGTGCTTCACATCAGGCCCCTGAGTTTGACAATTGGGGTATGTGCATACTTGCAGTGTTGCCTAACCAATAATAAATGGCCAGATTTTAACCTATCCCTTTACATCTGCATAAGGGTTATCGGTGTATACAGTCACACCACAGTTACCTGGATTAATAATCCTGGCACAGGGAGCAGAGCAGGCTGCACAGATGGGTGCGGTGGAGAGTAGATAGAGTCTTGATCTGCCCCCAAAGAGCTGAACAAGTTGCATCATGTGGGTACAACAACTTACTTGGAGAAGGAGGGGGTGAAACAGGAAAGGATTTGTAATTCCAACAGCTACTCAAAGTTCTTCCTACACTGGCACAGGTAGGCTCTGCCTCTTATCGGATGCTAGATGCAAAGACCCAATCTAGAGACTAAAGTAACTATTGCACCTTAAGTCATCTGTTGCTCTGGGGGATTGAATGTCCACTCCCACTTCTTTTGGGAGTGCAGCTCAGCTCTCTACAAGGGCCCAAATCCACTGTGAACTGCTCTTTCCCAAATCAATACCACAGATACAAAACTGTGATTCAGAATTTAACAGCAGGGGAGGAGGGGGAATCATTTAATCAGACAGAAGTGTGATTTTATTTACTGCTTAAGTAGCAAAAGCATGTGGCTCTGTCTTGTTGTTCTCACCCATTAAAGCACGCTGCTCATGAGAGAAAACAGATCTTGAAAAAGACAGCCAATCCCGAACGTGTGCATGCTCTAAGGCCTAAGCCAATACAGGAAAATGAGCGGGATGGTTTGTACCTCAGTCTAACTCTAGAATCAAATGAAGATCTGGTCAGTTTGGAATTCATTGGAGTTTAGATAATCATTCTTGCCTCCAACTTCCAGGCTTCTTAGTTTTTACAGGAAACCTGGTAGCAAACCAACAATTCTGTCAATATGCACTAGGGTAACTGCTGTCGTCAGACATTTCGAGTTCTAAAACTTTTCAAGGGTCAGCTTGAAGAATTATTTTCGGGGACACTAGTGACTCATGAAAGCTCACCTGCATGTAAAGTAGTTGTTTAAATCAAAAGTGCTTTGTATAAGCTTTAATTTTGCACTTTTGAAATATTTTGTATGATTTATTTTGCTTTATCATTCAGCGTGTCCTCCTTACTTCTCCAACTCCTCTTGTTCTTTTTGTTTCCCTCCATGCTGAACGTCTGCTGAGTGAGTGTCCATCTCATTATGTAGCAAAACATTCATGTTGGTAAATCTTAATTACATTTGCCATCTTTTTGCCTTGTCTTGTTTAAATACTATAGAACACACTCTGATGAAGTTGGAATAAGGTGTTTTGGATGGATACATAGGTCATTCAGTGAGTAGACTGTCTAGTTAGGCTTTGATACAGCATCTCACTTAGGCATGCACTTCAAGTTAAGCACACTCTTAAGTGTTTTGCTGAATTTGGTCCTTAATGAACACGAATTCAGAAGCCACAAAATATCACCAAATGAGATGCTGAAGGCTACAGCTAATTTATATAAAATGCATTAGTCTGCAGCTATGTTCGTATTTAGCACTGGAGGTAAAGCTATTGTTATGCACACTCATGGGCACGTCTTCTGCACAGAGAACGAGAATTTAATTACTCATGTTCAGTTAATAATCAAGAACTCTATTCAGCAGAATCCATGTTAAAATGTCCTTCTGTCTAAATGTTTTATGACTATTGTATGTCATTCGAGGCTACTAGTTAAGGAAAGATATACACAACTGACATTCTTTCCAGCTTTAATAATATTTATAAACAAAAGGAAATCTATAATCTCCATGAAAAGTTTAACTTAATGTTTTCTTCCCCCAAGGCTGGCACAAGTTTTACAAAAATAAAAACTAACAAACAAAAAACCATTCAAGAGGAGGGAGCTAAATTTTAAAGGCAATGAGTTTAGGCTTGGGCATCTGTTTAAAATCTCCCCTATAAAGTAATTTATTTACTTAGAATGGAGTTTTTGCCTATCTATAGCCAATTGTAAAGAATAATTGGTATATTCACTGCATAAGACTGCAAACCAATATATAATTCATATTGAAAAATGTAGTTTACTTACTATAATAGAAATTAAAATTGGTGATCGTATAACCCACCAAGGGGCGTTGTGATCATTTGTATCCCAGCAACTATAAAGAAAGTAAAAGGGAAAGTTATATTAATACTAATTTTATTTGGCAAGCAAGTTATGTGAAGACAAGGGTTTTGAATTTCTAAATCAAAACAAAAAAAGCCTGCTCTTGTGAATTGTGAGCAATTTAATTCAGCATAGTCCTGCTTTTATTTTTATGTTCATTGATTTTGAATGTCCACATTCAAATCAATTAAATGAGGGATGTTACAGAACAGTGTTAGAAGAAATACAGGCAGGTATCCCTGAGGGAATCTCAAGTTTAGTTTCATTCTTTATGTAATGACACTTTTCCAATAAGAGCTTAACTACAGTATCTGGGGCAGCAGAATGATCTGATGTGACAGATACTATTAAAATGATATAATTTACTGCAGCAGTATTTGGGTATAGATGAGTAGAACTGGTTTGGGAAATATTAATAAGAAGCCTGGAACATCATCTAAAAATGTGAACTTTAATTTGCTCACAATTCTCCATCCCAAGCCATTTTACCCTTCAATGAACATCGGACTTTACAGTCTGTCATTCTCAGTGCCCATAGCCCTTCCTGACTTCGGTGTGTACTCAGCACTTGTGAAGAAACAGACCTTAAAACTTGTGAGAGAATAGAAGCTGTAGGTGATAAGACTTATATAGGAGAAACATTTAATTGTTCGTAACTTTTTACGTGGTGATAATGATAGCAAGATACCAGCTAAAGAACGCATCACTTTCAGTTTATGTTTTTAGAGCTATTGCAAACAGATTGCTTGAGAGGTTAGAAATAACCTTTCATCTGTATCAACTATTGCAGGGGCCGCTGACATGAATTTTTAAGATCTCTAGAGCCTAATCCAGTGAGGCGCTGGACACCCACCACTACCAGGGATGCTAAAAAGAATTGAGAATGCTTAGCACTTTGCTAACTGGCACCATCACACTCTTAGTAGTACCCTCTGCTTCTCTAAAAGTCAATTTTTGGCCTTGGTTGCAGACAGCTCTCACTGAACTCAATAGGAACCACATAGGCACCACAGAGGGCAGAATTTGGCCATAAACTATTTCACCTCATCCCCATCAGGAGCTTTTAGATGGGAAGCATTTATAAAACTGCATGCAGAATAGCTTCTGAACACCTGTCACCTGACTGGGCCCTCCAAGATATTGCAGTCCTCTGCTATTTACCTCCCACAAAACAGCAAATTATCCCTGTGCAAACAGTGCAATCCCAGGGGAAGATCAGATGTAGTTCAAGTTTGAAGCATATTGTTTATGTCCTCCTAGCTACTTACCCAGTGTCCTCTAAAAAGATCCTTGTCACGGTCCACAAGATGATGAATACCATAGGAATTCCTAAGAAATTATAGTTTGTTATAGTGAATGATTATAAAAACCTATGAACTAAACCCCTTTACCACTCTTGTAACCATATACTACTAGAATATACAAGGTCTAGCATAGGGCCAAATGCAAGACATGGTGTAATAAAGTATAGCTGTAGCTGCAGCGTGGGGACTAACAGCAGGTTGCAAAGAATTCCTATCCACCTCCCAATGAAGACAAGCACAAGCTATTCTTACAGGTGAGTGCATTAATTTCTTACAGAACATACAAAGTGGGTATACCTCTCAGGCGCCTCTGCATAACCCTTGGAGATACAAATGAAAGGCACCCTGGGCCTTACTGAAGATAGATATTAGGAGTGAAATTTAAGGTGAAAATCATTTTATTAAAAAGCATTCACCTACACCAGTTCACTCCCACTCCCCAGCTATACTCAAGTATACTTTTATGATCAGTTTCCAATGGCTTTGCATCTACAAAACCTGTATCTTTGGCTCTCTGAGTATAAAAAGAATTAGTGAGTAAAAATGAAACTGAAAAATATGTATAATATGTTGGAAACTATATTGAAGATAAAGAATAAAGGACTGGCTGGAAGTGTCACTGTGTCTGAATTCACTGTTGGAGGGCTGAATTCCAATGCCATTTGACCTCACTGTGAAAATGAATGTAGTTCCCTCATTTATATTATGTCCATGCACATCACATGATCACAGAGGTTGGCATTCTTGGCAGTTAGTTCAAGAGATGCCCAGCAAAGATAGAGTTGTTTTTCAAGGCAAGTGTCTAAGATGAATTGGTAGCGATGTGAAGTATAGCTTCCATAGTGTCTTCCTGTACAATGAGGCATAAGGACGTGCTGCTAACCCTGCATTTTCACTGAAGGCACTCCTGACTTTTAAAGAATACAATGAACATGTAGGGCCTGATTTCCCACTGAGTCCGGGCGCCATTCAAACACAACAACTGGATATGTGAGAGGGAAAGTGAATAGTAGCTTTGTACTTTCCCTTATTAGGCTAATCTCAAGGCTGCCTTAACTTGCCCCAGATAATTTCCAGAGCACATTCAAGGTTTATGGGAATACTTGAGAAAACAAATGTTCTAGACCTAACCACTTTTCCTTGGCCATGTTCTTTATATACCCAATGTGCAGTGGCCTGTGAGGGAGGGGAATGGACCTTTTGAGCTATCTTTCCATCATTTTATGCCAAAACAATATATTGGTGGCTAGATTTGCAATGGTTAAACAGAATAAAAGGTCTGCTAGAGCCTTTAGAATCAGGCCCATGGACTGTAGCTAACAGGACATAATGTTACCTCTGTGGGAAACATTGAATCTGACAAATCCGTAGCTAAAAATAAAGAATAAAACATGTATATATTTAAGTACTTACCCCAGCCAATCAGAAGATACACTGTGAAGTGTCTGTTAGGAGAGAATATTACCACAAGGAGGATGTGGAGGTAAAGTCCTTCAACTAAGAGCCAGTAAAAGTTTGCCATAATACAATACTGGAAAAATACCAAACTAGCCTTGCAGCCAACCTGGAGTGTTACAAACAAACAAGAATCAAACTTCTTGCAAAGAAAATGCAGTAAAGTTTTGTAACAAACATTTCCCGACAGACCCTACTCTCTCTATAGTATGTTCCCTTCACTCTCGTTTATGTCACTAGCTCATGTACAATATTATTTTTCAATGGCCCCTTGAAATAAGGTGGCACAGTTAAAGTATAAAGAATGATCATACAAAGGAATTTAATTAGCGCTATGGCTTCCATACAACAGAATTATTCAGAAACATTAAAATCATCATGACATTAAAAAAGGAGACACCAAAGACCATTGATGAAGATAATAAACACATATAAACTTCAAAACTATTTTTCCTCCACTGTGAAATTCTCCAGTGTTTCCTAATTTGTTAAGTACATACCAGTATGCATCATTTTATTATGACCGCTGAAACATATAATTTGTGTGGTGTTCTTGAGCAGGTACCATTCTAAAAAATATTTAATAATACAAGGAAGCACATGGATTTCACACGGGTGAAAAACTTTTAAAAAATGTAAATTAAAATGTGATGATGCCTAGTGCTTTTTACAACTTGATTATAGCAAGGCATTTGGAGTCAGAGGGGATTATCTGAGTCAAATAATTTTTCTGTCCATTTATTTCTCTTTTGTCTTTCTTGAAGGTAAGCCTATAGGCGAGGCTGTTTCCAACCAATGAATAGATGCCACCAGCCTGCCAAATTATGTAAAAAAGTGATTCAGTTTTAGAACCTCTTCCAACCTTTTATAAGCTATTCGTTTTGAAAGAGCTGTGCCAAGAGCACAAATAGCCCTGTGGAATGCGTAAACATGATGTGAGAGTCAAACTCTCCAAACTGTTACATAACTATACCAGGGTTCAGCTAGTGTAAGAAGCAGCCGGTATTCCAATCAACATCAGAGCATCTCACTAACAATGCAACAGCAACTAGGAAATAGCACATGGATCTGGACCAGTTCAACAACAAGAATATCCAGAGTAACTGCAGGACAAAGACAGTAACAACTTGGGTGCAAACAGGCATGATCAGAGCCAAGTGCCTTAACTCCTTGAGATGTCAATCTAAGTGACCTGTGTAGAATGATTTTATGGTGCCAGTATTAAGTGTTCCTTCAAGGAGAGTGTTTTAGTTGATGGATTGTGTACATTCAGTTAAAGGGTCTCTTAGAAAGGCTTTGCGTAATGGACAAAGGCACATTCATCAATACAAAAATATTGCTTTGCATTTTTCTTCAGTTTTTCCTATACTCTACATTTAGCCATGAGGGAGGGAAAAACATTACAAATTAAAAATGTAATGTCTTCAGCAGTCTCTATGGATTTATTTTGCAGCAGTTCGGCCCCAAACTAAGGTGTCTGGGATACTTTCTATATATCAATGATATGTGATATACCATTTAACTTTTCAACCTTCTCAACCTCTGAGAGTTTGCAACCCTACCTACTTCGTTAATGCCTTATCCACTTTGCCAAATGGCTTGCCAGGCATGCAGATGATAGCCCTTCAACACCTCCAGTAGGTGTGGCGTGGTTGCTACCACTCTCATTCTCCCCTACATATTTCCAGTCAGTCTCTCATTGCTCTCCCTCCCTTACTGCCCTTCAACTCCAGATACCACTGCTGGAGCCTCCCAGAACATCTAGCCTTTCCCATTTGTCAGATGATGCATCTTCCACTTCTAACTCTCCCCTGACTTAGCCTACCTCCTAACTCTCAGATTGATCCGGGGTCATGGCTGATTCTGTTTTTCTGATAGCTGAAATTTGACTGTTGCCTACCTGAATAAGCGGAGCTTCATTAGCTCACCTCCCAGCTCTTCCAGTCCCTTCCTTCCCCTGCAGTTGCATTCTAGTTCATTTTACCATTATAGTTCTCCCATGGTGCCCTCCACTGACAACTGACCGTTCCCCAAAATTCTCCTGGGATGCAGAGGTGGAGAGGGTTAAAAGGCAAAAATATTACATAGTGTAGCCAAAAGAGCTTCATTACCCATGATGACTGGTCTTCTGTACAGTGAGCTGGGTTGGAATTGGAATAGAGAATATCATCCTTGACAAAAACAGAGATTGCTTTTAGAATGAAAGAAAGGAACAAGTTCAGATGGATGTAGTTCCGCGTGCAGTGAAGTTTTCTACATTAAAGAAGAGATTAAAAAAATAATTTTAGTTTTCAGGACAGAGAGGCTGTTGAACAGTCTTCTGATTAGTCGTAGGCTGCTTCTCAGTGAAACAAATCTGGAGTGAGCACCCGCTCTTTCTTTGTGTCTGCCCCCTTCCAGAGATTTTTTTTAAATGATGCCCAGTACATACAATTATGGCCCATCTTTGACTCCTTTTCAGTGTCACAGACTAAAAGGTGCTACTGCCATTTTCTCCACATCTGACCACAAAGTGTATCTAATAAAGGTGGATTTTCATTTTCTATTTTTGGCGTGCTCTGACCTTTTCATTCTAGATTACCAGTTTAAAGTCACACTCTTCTGGGAAAGTTTCTGAAACACCCCTCCCTAATATTTTCTTGTTGAGTTTTTCTGTCTTTAATTCTGGTATTTTGATTCATGGAATGTGCACATCAGGGGATGCAGGTGATGCATGAAGAATTTAGAAACAGTGTACGTATACCAATACAAATTGGACTGCACTTCCTTTCAGTCCATTAGGACTTAACAACTTTCTTCTTTAATCTACCTACTTTCTGAAAGTTTGGGAAACAGATGGGCTGTGTCTACACTGGCATCCCTTCCGGAAAAGGGATGCTAATGTAGCACTTTGGAGTAGGCAAATCCACGGGGGATTTCAGTATCCCCCGCGGCATTTGCATTAACATGGCTGCTGCTTTTTTCTGGCTTGGGGAAAAGCCGGAGAAAAGCGCCAGTCTAGACGTTATTCTCCGGAAAATAAAGCCTTTTCCGGAGGATTTCTTATTCCTACTTTCAAGTAATAAGAAATCCTCTGGAAAAGGGCTTATTTTCCGGAGAATCACGTCTAGACTGGCGCTTTTCTCCGGCTTATCTCCAAGCCGGAAAAAAGCAGCAGCCATGTTAATGCAAATTCTGCGGGGGATATTTAAATCCCCTGCGGATTTGCCTATTCCAAAGTGCTACATTAGCATCCCTTTTCCGGAAAGGGGTGCCAATGTAGACACAGCCATGAGGTTTCCAGAGAAGTGGGAAAATCAATAAACTCTGGGGGGAAGTGAGTTCTAGAGGCAAGGAACTATCACTTGAAACACCCTCTCTCTGCAGCCCCTTGTCTGTGAATGCAGCATTTGTCCTATCTGTTCTCAATATACAACAGAGGAGATTTGTAAGGCAGACAGGAATTAAACCACTGAAGATTTTATCAGTAAAAAGCAACACTTTGAACTGCAGCTGGAAACAAGTTGGAAGCTAGTGCAGATCAGATAATCTTGTTATTACTGAAATAATGCAGACGGAATAGAATCGCAGGCAGATTACTTCATTCTGTGCTGTCTGAAGCTTCTGACTGGTCTTCAGACACAGACTTATGCAAAGAGCATCAACTAACCCAATCCAGAGGTGACTAAAGCTTGGACAATTGTGGTCAGCTCTGCATCTAAGAGAAGTCACAACATCTTGCCAGGCAGAGATGCAAAATGAATTTTTGGCCAGATCAGTAAAGGCCATAATTCCATGCTTAACTTAAAATGCTTGCTCAACTTCCACTGACTTCAGTAGATGTGCCTATACATAATCACTTTGCTGATGCAGGGCCTGAGACTTCCAAAAGCTACTGAGAGTCCACTGTTATTATTAGGGCCCTACCAAATTCATTGACTATTATGGCCCATTTCATGGTGCAGGATTTGAAAACTGGTAAATTTCATGTTTTCAGCTGTTGTAAACCTGAAATGTCATGGTGCTGTAACTGTGGGGTCCTGACCCAAAAGGGTTTGTGTGTGTGGGAGGGAGGGGGAGTTGCAAACCTTTTGTAGGGGATCAAGGGATTACCACCCTCACTCCTGTGCTGCCTTCAGAGCTAGACTCTGAAGGCAGCAACCACAGAGCTACCTGCAGCCGCAGGAGGTTCCAAGAGGTAGAAGTGGGTCTGATCTCCCCTGTGCTCTGGGAGCACCCCAGCTGAGGATGCCTCACTGCTAATCCTGGCCAGCTTGGGAGGGACAATAATTGCTCTGGCTATGTCTAGACTGCCGGGTTTTTTTTGGAAAAAGATACATAAATTGAAAACCGCAATTTGTGTATCTTTTTCCATTTTTTGGGGAAGAGGCTTTTCTGACATTTGGCCCAACTACACAGGGCCAAATGTTGGAAAAACCTCCTCTTTCAGAACATCCCTTATTCCTCTCACAGAGAGGAATACAGGGATGCTGAAAGAACGTGCCTTATTTTTTAGATACATTCCCTGAACGCAGCAGAGCTTTTCCGGGATACCTCTGGTATCCCCCAAAAAACTGCCGTCTAGACATTGCCTCTCTCTCTGCACAACTGCAGAGTTCTGCACCCTCTGCCACACACTCTCTTCTTGCCCTGTCCTTCTTCTGCCCAGTCGGAGCTAGCAAGCCCCCTAGGATGGGGTGCTCTCAGCAGCATAGGGAAGATACACTCAACTCCACATGTCTCCTCCAGCTGCAGGAACCTCAGGATGCTACCCAAACCCAAATAGCTTCCTGCAGCAGAAGGTGGCACCTGGAGGTGGGTCTCGAGTGGATGTCTCCCCTTCCCACCACCACAGAGGTTTGCAGGGGAGGGACAAGTCCAGTTATTATGGTATAGGGCATAGTAGATCCCTATGAAAATGTGAGCCACATTCAGGGGAAAATGGGCATCAAATTAATAGGAACAACGTGTTTCTTTCTCATGCTGGATCTGAAAGAATAAAGGTCTGATCCAGCCTGGAGGTAGGTGTTCCTGAGAGATACCATGTTCCTGCAGTTCAGTGAAAATGACAGGAGCTGAGGCCCTGAGACTCTTGTGGGTCAGGCCCTTATGGCAGTGACAGTTACTAGAATTCTGCATGTGTAGAAAATTGCTTATATACAAATAACAGCAGCACAGTCAGATATACAAACAGTTTTATATATAGCACAAATAGCACATTTGGACTTTCCCACAAAGTAATATTTTTAAAACATTTTGTTTTGGGACAGTTGAAATGTTCCATTTTGATTCTGACTTTTTAAAAATTGTGGAAGAGACATAGTGTGGCATAATGGACAGAACATTGGCCTGGGAGATGTAGGATCTAGTCCCAGCTCTGACACTGGCCTGCTGGGTGACCTTGTGTCCTGTCTTTATGTGCCTCAGTTTCCCATCTGTAAAAGGGGGCAATGATACTTTGCACAACTGCAGAAAGCTCTGCACCTACCGTGCTCTGAGACTGAGGGTACGTCTACACTGTGGGGTTTTTCTGGGATACCAGAGGTATCCCGGAAAAACTCATCCATGTCCAGGGAACACTTTTTCTCTTCGGCTTTTTTTTGTGAAAGTGTAAATGCGCTCTTTTGGTAGCCCTGTCGTCCTTATTCCATGAGGAAATAGGGATCTTCTGAAAGAGGGGGATTTTCTGACATTTGGCCCAGTGAAGATGAGCCAAATTTCAGAAAAGCCTCTTCTGAAAAAAAATCAGAAAAAGCTGTAGAGTAGACCTAGCCTAAAAGTGCTGTGTCAGAATAAGGTATTATCATATAATATAAAAACATGCAAAAAGAAAAGAAGTTTTGAAAATAAAAGTTTAAATGTTTTGCTCCAGTAAGGTCATTATTTCCCCTCAGCAACATTTCATCAAAATTGAAACATTCCTGTGGAGCATTTTGATTCTGACAAATCAACATTTTCAGATTAAAATAGTTGTCAGAAAATTTTCAATCAGTTCTAATCATAATGTTCATACAAAGTGTCACCTGAGATGAAAAAGTCTTGACATCTGAAAAATTGGGACAATTTTGAATAGCAAAAGGTTCTAGGAAGCTCAGCGTCTCTCGCTGGCAATTTAAGATTAAAAAATCTCTCAAAGATTT